GAAATTGATAATTCTGATCTTGTAGAAAATGAATGAATAATGAATGGTAAAAATAAATATTATAAATAAAAAAAAATCTTTCTTTTTTTATTATCAAACTGTATCAATATGGCTGGTTTTTTTTGAAATTAAAATGTTTAAAGATTCTGATTCATTTTTTATGGTAAAAGATCGTCACTAATACCGATATGGTAATTCCAGACTGCATATGGCAAGATCATCTCACATACCGATTATGGTAAAATCCCAGACTGTAATAATAATAATAATAATAATGACAATGGTTTCGCCATTTTTTTGTGTAAGTCATTTAACCAAATTTGTTTTTTTTACAATGATCATTAATTGCTTCAAAATACAAAACAAAAAAATTTTTATATAATTTTAAAAAAGTTATTAATAGACTTTATTGTTTGTGACTCAAGCTTCAAAACTTATCGGCTAGTTTTTCTTAAACTAAAAATTGGCAAAGAAATCTATTATATATGTATAAATTTGAGGTTTCGTCATGTGCTTCTATTGATATTATTTAATATATAGATAAAATTTCCACTTGCGAATTTTTTTTTCAAAAATAATTTTTGAATTTTCTTTATATATTTGAAAACGATTATTTTTGTACTCAATTCAACATCCAAATTTCACAAAAAACTCCTTCCCAAAAAGATATTTAGTTTTAGAAAGTAATTCATTAATTCATTAATTCTTAATCCCTCATCTGTTGTGTTTTATTTACATATACACGAACTCTTATATATATTGTGTTAGTCCAAAGCATATAAATACTCAGTACTAGTCAATTATTCTCCCACAAAATGGATGATGATAAAGATCTTGAAACTTTTTTTTCTTTTGTTTTATTATTCATTGGGGCATGTTTATCTCCCCTGCTTCAAAAAATACCGGAGAGTCATTTGGATAAAGTAATGGATTTGATTTATACATTTTATATATTCACAGTACTTATGATTTTAATTGTGCGGAATATTTTGGATCCATACAAAGTTAGTCATGCTCATAAAATGACATTTTTAATTGTTGTGCAAGGAATGGCCATAATATCTATTATAGCAACAATCTTATCAATTGCAAATATTGTAAATACCACCACATGGAACAGAAGGAAACTTCGTGTCAGCATCTTTTGCCTAAACTACATAATTATCCCAGGTAGTATTTTGGCTAGTATGATTACCTTAAACATAATCAACGGCTCTGACTTTAATTACATCAATAAGTATATGGTTGCTATATATATGTTAGCAACACTCTTCATCGTTTCATTTTTATCTCTTTTAGTAAGAATGATATTAGTTCTAAAAGGATCTATCAATGGTGAAGATTTCAAAATGCCCTTTCGAATGGCGTTTTTAGCTTCAATAGCCTTCTTTCTAACATTATCAACTATCGTAATTATCGACAGTACACTTCACTTTACATTTAACTTAATTCTATCAACTCTAAGTGGATTTGTTGGAAACATCATAATAGGGAGGATTTTTTTAACTGGTCCAAATCCCAGAATTGAAGGAACATCATGCATCGACTATCATCTATCCAATGAGAATCCCACAGCACCTACCCAATTAAGAATGGTTGAGAATCCAGTATAGAAAATTGTGCTACATTAAGTCTTGTGGAACAAAAAAAATTTTATAGTTGGCTTGGTCTAAAGACCTCCTAAGTTTTGCATAAATTTTAAAAGTATAGAAGTCACTTTCTGTCCTATCT